GTGATAGTATATTTACAGTCCAAACGGCTCATTTTTGAGGATCAATTTGTATAAACGTATTAGCAGAAATTCTGGAAAAGATAAAAGAGTGAGTAAAATTACTCTAAGTAAATTCAGCTGTGCTGGCTTGCCAATCTCGTTGAAATAAGGCATCAACTTAACTACGCGTATTATGCGCCGTATACAGGTATCCATCCTGTTGTACTCTTGCTCTAGCGTCTCAGCGGTACCAGTCTCTAGTTGCTCTTCTGGAGTGAAAGGGTCCCGGATCCTTGCAACGCAGTCAGCCAAGCAAGTCATAAGCCTCGTGTTCACCGGGTCAAGGGGTGGTCGAGCGCTTAGAGATGGCAAACCACCGGTTGCCATTACGATAGGAGGCGTGGATGATGCAGGAAAAGTTGTGAGTGTAGAAGATTGCACCAATGGATCCACCGAAGTTGAGACAGTAAGAGGGCTGTCTGCTATGTCTGAAGAAATGACAGAAAAAAGCAAGGGTTACTGCATTTCGGTGAATCTCTAGTCTTAGTGGTGACTTGAGAATTTTACAAGAATGAGTCCCAGCTCGGATGATGCCCATCATATGATGGACGAAAGGTCAGCCCATTTTAACACGAAAAAGAGAGAGGTCTCGTTGACTGCGTTAATCTCAACGTCGAATAAAAGCCAAACGGCTGTAGTATAACGGGATTCAATCATCCTTTTCTGGTGGGATCGACCTTCGTATCACTTCTTCATACACTTTCATACGAAAGGTGTGATAGGAGGATATAGGAAATGTGAATAGACCAGGGCAAAAGGAGGAGATACCACAACTATTTAGCATAGGTTTAGTTAAAAAATGGGCTTCACTTGTCTCTTTGACGAGTTGTTGTGTGGTGCTAAGAATGGCGAGACTCACTGAAGATGCCGACTACGATGCCGGCGAAACGTCTTGGAAAGTACCAAGTCCACGGTCTGACTTTGGAAATGATCATGCATACAATGGACTCCGGAATAGGTGCGTTCATCTGAGTCTTCCTACCAATATAACCAAGTTGCGAAAACAAGGTCAAACAACTTCTATGCAACAAAAGGAGACTGCGACCACACAAAAGAACACACCATCTTGGTCTTCATACCTGCGAAAAAAGTATATGGCTTAAAAATTCTTCTAATGGAAACCTCTGGTAATTTTTCTAAACATCTAGAAGACTATACAGAAAAAATTCATACCCGGGAATATTCTTTAATTTTCAGCCTCACCATAACTAAACTAAAGATGGGAATACTGAGGAGTTTAACATCATAAACAATTAGTTCTGGGGCGAATAGTTGGACAAACTGACACGGATTTGCCTTAGTAACGGATAACCCAGAGAATTTATAGAAAAAAATGTAGAGATTATAAAGGCCCGATTTCAACTTGGATTTTATGAAAATCAGATCAGGAATCAGGAATCAGGAGCATGACCTGAAGTGGATTTGCCTGAACTCATCAGATCTGAGCCAACAATTGCGACCGTTACTACGGAAATAGA